TATTTGCACTCCTCTCTCGTCCTGTCTAAACTCGATTATGGTTGCCCTGCATACTCTTCTGCTCCTCCTACTCTTCGCCGTCTTGATGCTTTGCACCATTCTGGGTTGTGTCTCGGCTGTGGTGCCTTTCGTTCCACTCCCGCCTTCAGTTTGTATGTTGACACTGGCTTTCTCTCTTTTCAGGACCGCCGTGATCGCTACTGTCTTCGCTATCTTGTGCGGTCCTTACAACATCCTTCCTCTCGCCTCTGTCCACCAATATGTAGTCATCAATAGCATAACCTCCCCCACTCTACCATTGACAGAAACCAAGATTCTGCCACAGGGCAGCATCTTGAGACCACTCCTATTCCTTATATACTTGCCAAATGTTTCTAACATTCTTAAACCTATACTATTTGCAGACGATACTACCTTCGTCTATTATGACCGCAAGACCCCCACACTAAATATTATCAACAATGAATTAAAAAATGTCCACCAACTAACTTGCACTGAACATAGACAAGACCTGCTACATCTTATTTGGTAGTAAATCAAATTAAATTCAACTTCAGATAGACAATGTTAACATTACCAATAAAAATAAAGGGAAGTACCTTGGCCTATAGATAGGTAAGAAACTGAACTTCAGCACCCACGTACAACACACAGCCAAAAAGTCTCAAAAACCGTCAGTATACTTTCTAAAACCAAATATTATGTTCCCCCATACTGCTCTCCTCCCATTATACTACGCACTAATCTATCCCTATCTTGCATACGGTATCTGTACATGGGGGTTCAACCACTGCAAATTATCTCAAGCTTATAATCACTCGGCAAAAATCTGCTATCAGAACTATAACTCTCTTTCAGACTACACACAGCCCCTCTATTTAAATCCCTTAAAATGCTAACCTACCCTTGAAACAAAGGATTCTATTTTTCTTATGATATGCGGTAATTGATTCCACAAATCAACAACCCTAATTGGCATAATGTTAAGTTCTTCTTTCGTAAACTCGGAATAAAATATTTAATTTCTCTGTAAGCCTGCTCACTGGGATCAATGAGTCCGGAGTAGAGGGAGAGCAGTGTCCCTCACCGAGAGCGAGGGAAAATGCTCCCGAGTTGTAATTCCGCTCCTCAGTCCGGACTCCAAGTGCACAGGGTGTTGGAAATAATTTCCACATCATTCATTAAATAAATATTTTAACCTTAAAATAAAAAAAATAATTCTTATGAGGATTCGTCCTCTGTTTAAATCTAAGACTAATTATTAAATATTTTTAATTAAACTTAATTCTATGAGGACTTGTCCCTGTAATAATAATTTCACAATAAATAATATAAGAGGGCTGATGCAATACTTGAGTTCATCACGTCAACCACTTCAACATCAACACGAGAATATCGAGTACTAAATTTTTTTAAATTTCGTTAATGAATTGAGGTGTGGAGATTTAATCCAATACCTAATATATAAACCAAATTAATATATTTCATTAGAATTGTAACAATTCGAATTTAATTTAAAGGCCGACCTCATAATTAAATAACTATATATATTCTCTCACGGACGAAAGCGTCAGAGAAGGGAAAATTAGGCCATATGTGCAGGACGAGTGTACCACTTTAGGCTCCCGGCTGGTGCCTCCATTCTGAACCTCGCCGACACTTTGTTGGCTCATGATGCAGGTTTATCAGCTCGCACCTAAGACACTCACGTCTCCTTTACCACTTGTTTTCCATCTCACCAATATGCTAAGCATCTTGTTTAGGTCTGGTCAGTAACTTTAGATAGACTGAGCATTTGAGCATGATTAGGCTGCAAAACTTAAAATAGTTTCAAGTAAGAAAACGAAAATTTAATGTCAATTCTTACTTATTGATATGTAAACTAATATCATAAAATTAATGTTTTCCCAATTTACCAAATAAATTGGCGGCATGAGGTGGTTCCAGCAGTGACAAGTCTAGAGGCAGTCATTATATACGAGGCCCACTCTACCCTACGGATGATGTTACTTGATTATCCCGCACATTTGATGATGCTACATAGCCTTCCCGGTTTGGTGCCTTCTTTTGATAATTACTTACTTCTGCTGTTGTTCTCGGATATTACCAGCCAAGACGTTATAACTTTGGGTTAATCGTCGTCTTGCTGGAGCTGCAATCGGCGCGACGGGTCGGGGTGCAATCACGCTTCCCCAGGGTGCAGCGCCCCACCTCAGGAGGCTGTCACATCATTCGTATTGCTTTTGCTGCGAAGACCTCCATTGTTGCTGTCCTTTCTGACATGGAATAGGCGTATGATACCACCTGGAGATACCATATTCTGTCCCAACTCGGTTCTTTTGGCCTTCAATCGTAATCTCCCTCTCTTCCTCCAAAGCTTCCTCTCTAGTCGTTCCTTTAGAGTGAGGCGTGGTACCACTCTGCCTATTTTCGGCAATACGAAGGTATACACCAAGGTAGTGTTTTGAGCACTACTCTTTTTCCTGGTTGCCATTAATGGTCTTCTTTCCTCCCTTCCCTCTGGCATTTTCTCAGCTCTATGTTGACGACCTTCTCCTCTGCTGTCAAAGTGAAAGCTCGCCTTTCCTCCATCGGCAGCTTCAACCTGCGATTGATGCCGTGTCATCCTGGACTACCAATCATCACTTCAAGTTCTCTACAACTAAGACTTGTGCTATGACCTTAACGCGGAAGCAGGTCGTTCTTAGACCCATTTTGTATCTTTATGGTAATCCTCTTTTGTATAATGATTCTGTTAAACTTCTGGGGGCTTTTCTTTGGCACTCGTTTGTCTTGGTCGCCCCCGTATCACTTACCTGCGAGTTGAATGCTCTAAGGCCTTTAACATAAGGTTTTGTCCCAAACTTCCTTGGCAGCTGATAGGTGCACGCTCCTCTCTCTATATTCCTTTCTCGTTCTATCAACTCGATTATGGCTGTCCTACTAACTCATCTGCCTCTCCCTCAACTCCTTGTTGACTTATGCTCTTCACCATATTGTGTAAGGCGTCAGCTCTGGAGCCTTACGTTCGACTCCCACCCAGAGCCTGTATGATGAGACCGTTATTGTGTGTCGACAGGACTGCTGTGATCGCTACTATCTTTAGTTCTTTGTGAGGTGCAAACAATACCCTCACTCTCGCTTATATCATTCTTTGACCATTACCCCTCCTGTGGGCTCTGTTTTCTCACCACCTTCCCCTTTCTGTATGATTGTCTCGCTTACATGGTTCTCTCTCGATTCGTGTTGCCAATATTTCTCCTTATGTCGTTCCATCCTTTCCCACTTGGAGGGTCCGTCTTCCTAAGTTTTGTAAAACCTTGACCTGCATGACAAAAGCTTTTACCCCTCTTACAGTTCTGAAACGCCTTTTTCCTTGCTCACTTTTCTACCCACTCTTTCTTCGTTTCCGTCTTCACAGATGGGTATAAATCTAGCGATGGAGTAGGCTACACAGTTGCATTTCCTGACAACACCTGTGTGTTGCCTTCCCCTGGAGACTAGCATCTTCACAGCGAAACTTTATGCAGTTTTGTATGCTCTTCGTCAACCGATTTCTTGCTGTCATCTTCTTTTTGTTGTTGTAGTTGACTCTTGCAGTGCCTTCATGGCTCTGGAGTCCTTTAATCATGTCCATCCTGTGGTCGTCGAAATTCAACATTGGCTGTTTCTTATCTCCAACAGATTTAAGATAGTCAAGTTTTGCTGGGTTCTCAGCAATATTGGTGTTTCCTTAAATGAGCATACGGACGCTGCCGTGACGGAGGTTATCCACACTTGTCCCATTTCCTGCAAAGGTGTTCCTTATTTCGCTTCTACCCAGTTATTACTTCTCCAAGCCTTTCGTTGGCAGGGTCGTTGGTCTTCTGCTACTGGTAACAAACTGCGTGCTCTTGAAGGTGGCGTGTCCCCATGACCTTCCTACCACCGTAACCGGCAGTGAGAAATAGCTCTGGCGAAATTCCATATTTGCCATACAAGTTTAACTCACAGGCACTTAATGGAGCTCCAACCTGCTCCATATTATCCAAACTGGATTGTCACTCTTATGGTCGAGCATATCCTTGTTGAATGCCCTGACTTCCAGGATGTGCATGCATCTTGCTTCCCACCGGTCCCTCGATAAAATCCTTGGTGAATCTGATAACTTTCATATTCAATTTATGCGGTTTTTGTTCTGGTACTGTCATTCTTTGTGATATTTAGTACTTTTTGAATATCCTGCACATTTGATGGTGCTACATAGTTTTCCCCGGCTTAGCATCTTATTTTGATAATTACTTACTTCTGTTCCTCCTGGTACACTACCAATTTGACTGCGACAGTAACGCAAGTCTTTTGTGAGAAGGCTAGAACAGTACAGAAAGTTTTGGAAAGTTAGAGTATATTAGTATTATTTGGTTAATACAAGTGTGGGTGATAAATTTAGGTATGGTGATTGATGAAGAGGTTGTGTTGAGCCAAGCTTCTAATGGTGTGGCAGGAGGAGGAGGCAGGAAGGTGGTGGTGGTGGTGGTGAGGAAGATAGGAAGTAGCCGGCCCCGATGGTGCAGGAGGTACCACTGTCATTCTTGAGCTGAATAGTAAGATCACTTGCCAACGTCCACGCAGGGCAAATAATGGCGACGAGTTATGTGGTGTTGCGTGACGAACACCAGCCTCTCGAAGGCAGCTGGATAGCGGTACTGATCAATCGTTATAAACATTAACGATGAATCGGTTACTTTTGACGTTGCTTGTATTATGCTCTGGTATTAGTATCTTCATTGATATATAGGACCTTCTGAATATTCTGCGATATGAACTGTGGTAAAACGATCCTTCCAGCTTGGTGGCTTCTTTTGCTACTTGGTATTTCAGATCACTTTCTACCCATCTGCATCATGTCTATTAATCTATTCGCATTTCTGTAAACACACACACATTTGTAAACAGGCCACTGATGATTGATTTTGAATATTAAATCATTCCAGTCCCTTTGTAATAAGTATATGAATTACTGCCAGGGAGGCGTCACGTTTGCTGAGCTGAGAGTGATGAAGGGGGAGCCACGGATGTGCAAGCAGGAGATCCGCTACAGGTAAAGTCAATGTAAAGTGCTCTATTGACACAACAACTGATGACAAAATTATTAAAAACTTTTCATTTATCTTCTTTTCCGTTACGATATATAAACACTTGTCTATCATAAATTATTGTCAGTTACGTATTGAAAAAAAATCCCTAACATTCGGACATTAGTATACTTATGAAATACTTGTAAAGTGAAAATTATATCTCGGTAATGATATGTACAGAACTTGTTGCGTCTTAGTTATTTACCTGAATTACCTGATGGCCACTTACCACTAGTGGCCTCAACGAGGACAGAAGTCAGCGCTTGTCAAAGGTTTCCCAATCTATTAAAATCTGTTCTAGTGTGATTTTGAAATTCAAAAGACTCTTGGCATTTACGGCTTCGGCGGGAAGGTGGTTCCGTGGCTTTATAACACTGGTTAAAAAGAATCTATTCTCAGTTCTGCATTGTGGCTTGACGAGCTTGAAACCGTTGCGTCTTGTTTTTGTCACGTTAGACCTTTTGAAGAAATTTCCCGAATACACATTCACCAAATTTTTCAGTATTTTAAAAGTTTGAACGAGATCCACCCAGTCATGCCTGGTTTGAAGTGTTAACCCTGTGGCCTTCGACCGTTCCTAATACACGAGATGACTTAGCTCGGGAATTATTATTTTTTTTTTTTTTTGCCCTGTGCTACATTTTCTCCAGAGCAGCTATGTCCTTCTGAAGATGGGGTTTCCATGCTTGGATACAGTAATCCAAATGAGGACCGCACCAGAGATTTATACAATTGAATCACCACCTTCCTTTCCGTAAAGTCAAAGGTACGTATGATTATTCCAAGGGTTTGGTTAGCTTTTTTGATTGCTGCTCCTACCTGTTGTGCAACTTTCAGTGAGTGGTGGATATTGACTCCAATGTCCTTTTCTTCATCAATCTGCTGTAATGGAATGTTATTGATTTTGTTGTGGTGGCGTGGGTTGATATGCCCCCACATTGAAGATGGGGGCACTAAAAATCATTTGCCAGTCTTCTGACCATATGTGGTGTTCATGTAGATCTCTTTGTAGGGCTCCAATATCATTATTATTTTCCACTTTACTTCATATTATTGTGTCATCTGCAAATTTGGCGTGGTTTGTAATATCCTCATCTATGTAACTGATGTAAATGATAATAAAGGATTGGCCCCAAAATGAACCCCTGAGGAACGCCACTTACCACATTACTGTATTTAAATACGGACCCATTTAGTACAACACATTGCTCTTTGTTTCAACCACTTATTTTATCCATTTTAATATTCTACCATTGATTCCATGTGCCTGTAATTTCTTTGCCTGTCTTTCATGTGATATCTTATCAAATGCTTTCGCAAAATTCATGCATACTAAATCCACCGGAAGTTTATTGTCTGGGAAGATGTTTCCTGTTCAAAAAACGTGAGCAGGTTTGTAAGGCAGGATCTTTTTTTAACAGACCCATAATGTGTCGGTTCTACCAGATTCTTCACTGTAAGATAGTGAACGAGTCCCTCCATTAGTTTGCAGATGTGTGATGTCAAGCTGGAGTGCTCTTCTCCCCAGCCTCACTGCATCAATTGCGGTGACGCGCACCCTGCCTTCTCCTGCTCATGCATACTCTTCAAATTTGTGGAAACCATTCATAATTTAAAACGTCGTAATCGGATTTCTTTTCCCAAGGAAAGAAGCAACGTTCGTAGTCTGTCAAAAGCCTGAACCTGGCTCCTATCCATCTTCCTCCCCAGTTGGTAAGAAAACGTCGCTCAATCCCCTTGCTTTCCATCTCCAGCTCTGTCAGAGTCTCCTCCCATCTCTGTGGCGGAGTCAACTGACCCCTCTATGGAGCCTCAAGAGGTCCTTGATACTTCTTCTGACTGTCTTTTATCAAATGATCTGAACTAGTTCAGTCCTTCACCATTACCTTGACCGTTTATCTCCGAGGCCTCTGTTACGACCCTGGGTTCTTCAGTGGAAACCAGAGGTCAAAATTTAACTAATTAAGCTACGTTAGAGTAGGAAATCGCAACCCGATGTGGCTTTGTTTGTATCTTCCCTGCCAGACGTAAGACTATTCTTGTTTCTCAAAGAGCATTTAAAGACTGAGCTGGGGGTTGATTATTAAATAATAACATAGGCACCAACTATGCTTACTATTACTTTCTAATCATTTGTAAAGTAAACCTGAGTAAACTTGGTATAGGGCTGCGGTACGATTAGTTGAGCAGTCTGCCAGCAGCTGTGGGGAAGGAGACTGAGACTCCATCTTCTCTGGTTGCTGGCTGTGGTGAAAGGAACCTCCTATCCTTCCTCTTCGTTTCCTTATTTCTGTGTCTTGTTCAAGATAAGTATATTGAGCACATTATTATGCATGTCTGGCATACTCATGTTCTATGTGTAGAGTAGGATATTTTGTGTGTAGTAGGTGTTTGTAGAGTTTATATTACTAGTTATTCTAAAGGGGGTCCCATTGGAACCACATGGTCCCCTACCCTAAGCTGACTCTAACTTCAAGTTAAAAAAAAAAATAAAAAATAAAATGTTTATTTAGGTAAGGTACATACATACAATAAATTTTTACAAAGATTGGTTGACTTATAGGTAGAGCTAGTACATACAATGCCTAAAGCCACTATTACGCAAAGCGTTTCGGGCATTAGTTATTCAATAGTAGAGCTTTACCCTAGCTTGTTCTCAGTGTAAACCTTGTATCCTGTCTATATGGACCAAGGCTTTTAACGTACGGTAGTGTGGGTAAAGTTGTTATTATTATTATTGTTATTGGTGTGAATGTATATGGGGGGGCTGTTAAGGGGTTAATAAATAAGTACATGAATTATAGGAGTATCCCTTCTTCCTGTGTGGGAGTGCATTGATCAACCCTTAGACTGACATATATGGTCTAGTAGCAAGGTATTATTACTGTGGATAGTTCATTTTGGGGGCCGGGCCTTTTAGCTCTCCCATATTTGATACTCTGTCTTCTAACTACCCTTACCCCTTAATAGTACCAATTCCCCATAGCAAGCCCACCACAATATTATTTATAACAGCCTCCTACCACCCTAGTCACTGTAGAGTCTGTCTGCCTGCTCCTTCTGTTCCCTCGACTCGATTGTCTTTTCTAAATTTACATATGTGCAATGGAAAAGTAGAGGGACACGGGGAATATTATTACAGATCAAGAAAACAGTGAAGCCCCGAGCAAAAGATGGACAGGAAGAGAGAGAGAGGGGAATTACTGTGAAAGTGACCAGGATGAGCGTCAAGCATAGGTTCTTGGAGACAAAGTGGCGAAAACTGAGAGATCAGAGGTTGGAGATTATGAAAGTTAATAAAACATCAACGAATATTCCATTCGAGAATGGACATAGTTAAAAACGGAAATAATAGGAAAAATAGACAAACTAATTAAAAGTTGGACACGGGACACTTGGGAGGATGAGACTCGGGTTTCGCTTTCGAAACTGACCCGGATTTCGCTGAACCCGATCCTGATCCTCCCAAGTGTCCCGTGTTCAACTTTTAGTTTTTCTATTTTTCCTATTTCTGTTTTTGACTGTCTATTCTTGAATGGGGTATTAGTGGATTTTATGGTAACTTTCATACTCCAACCTCTGATCTCTCAGTTTTCGTCAATTTGTCTCTCAGAGAGCTGATGCTTAACGCTCATTCTGGTCGCTTTCGCAGTAATTCCTTTCTCTCTTCCTGTCCAGCTTTTGGTCAGGGCTTACTGCTCTCTTGATCCGTAATGATATTCACCGTGTCCCTTTACTTTTCCATTGCACATTCAGTCCTCTGCAGCCCGTATCTTTGTGAGTAAATGGTACGCAGTCTGTTCAATTCATCTTCTTTCAAATGTCCCACTTTCTCTCTTCCTGATCCTAAACACCTGTTGGATTAAAATAATCAAATCCACAAGGGCCGTGATGAGGATTCTGATTCTGATTACACGGCAACAGGTAATCCATGTACCTGTTGGATTACTTACCAGAATCTATACTCCTTTGTGTGATTTTAACTGTCGGCATACGCTCTTTGGCGATGTTCTGACGAACACCTAGGGCCGCCTTCTCGAACAATTTGTCCCTTCTATTTCTCTCTTCTGAAAACTGCTGAGCCTACTCATGTTGACTCGTGCACTTGCACCCTTTCCTGTCTTGATCTTTCTCTCTGCTTGTCTTCTCTTTTAGATTTTACACAGCGGACCCTTGATGACCTCCATAACAGTGGCAACCTCCCTATCCTTGTTACCTCTTTTTTTCACACCCTCCTCTCCTTCCCTAGGTGGCAGTTTGCCAAGGCTGCCCTGAACCTCTTCACCCTACATGCTACTCTTTCCGACCTCTGATCTGCCACTCCCTCGAGTCCTCCATTTTTCTGACACCATATTCGACGTTGCTCATCGCCCTGTACCTCGCTCTACCTCCCAGGGACAGGAAAGTGTGTTCCCTGGTGGAATGCAGATTGTACTCGGGCTGTCTGTTGTAAGTGTGCAGCCTAAATGAAATTCCAACATTCTTTTATTTTGTTTCAGAAGGTGACTGTGGCATGTCAGGCCATCCATATCACTATCTGTATTGCTAAGCGTGAGAGTTGGAAATCTTATGTCTCCACCATTATGACTGACATTCCTCTCCTCTGATCTGGAAGAAAATCCGTATGATAGCTGGTAAGTGAATTTCAGATGTCTCGCCAGTCCTTCAACTCTGCGGTTCTGTTGCGGCCAATCCGGTATCGGTCGCTTCCGAACTGGGTTCACACTTTTTATCTGTTAGCTTCAGTTCTCATCTTACTCCGTCTTTCCTTACTCGTAATTCCCTTCTCGAACCTTGTCCCTTAAATTTTAGCACAAATCTGACCCTTTGCAATTTTACGGGCAGGCTTAGATGACATTCTCGGAGATGCTTCACCATCTCCCTCTATGGAAATATCAGTATTTACTGAATATTATTAACCGAATCTGGGAGACTTTTTCAGTCCCCCTAGGACTAGCTTCCACCTCATTGCTTTAACGATTTGCATATGCAGACGTTTTGAACGTATGGTCACTGTCTATCTGATGTGGTTTATAGAATACTATCACCACCTCTCCTCTTCTCAATTTGATTTTCCCTAAGTGTCGCAGCATGACTGATGTCGTGGTGAACTTGGAGGTCTATATTCGTACTGCCTTTGTTGAGAAGATCTCTGTTATTGCTGTCATTTTTGACCCGGAAAAGGTGGATGATACCACATGGAGATACCATATTCTGTATGGTATCTCTATACAGAATGATATATTTTACAAAATATGGTATCTTTCAGAGAATATGGTATCTTATGGTATCTTATATGATACAGAACCATATTCTGTATCATATTATGGAATATGATACAGAATATGGTTCTTTTGGCTACGAACTCCAAAAGAATGGAGTTCTTTTGGGCTTTGTGATAATATCCCTATCTTCCTATAATGTTTCCTCTCTAATCGTTCCGTTAAAGTAAATCTTGGTACCTGGTACTCTCCTTCGGCAATACGAAAGTGTACCCAAAGGTAGTGATTTGAGTACTACTCTTTTGTTGGTTACCCTTAATGGTCTTCATTCCTCCCTTCCCTCTAGGAATTTCTCAGCTCTTTAAGTTGACGAGTTACCTTCTGCTGTCAAGGTGATGACTAACCTTTCCTTCAACGGCGGCTTTAACTTGCGATTGATGCCGAAGTCTTTCTGGACCAACAATAATGGCTTCAAGTTCTCTACAACTAAGACTTGCACAATGACTGGGCCAACAATAATGGCTTCAAGTTCTCCACTTCTAAGACTTGTGCAATGTCTTTTACGCGGAAACGGGTCGTTCTTCGTCCCTCTTTGTCACTTTATGGTCATCCCTTTGAGTACAAAGAATCCGCGAAGCTTTTGGGGTTATTCCTTGACACTCGTTTGTCTTGGTCTCCCCATATCTCTTACCTCCGTGTTGAGTGCTCTAAGGCCCTTACCCTCCTTCGGGTCTTGTCCCATACTTCTTGGGGGGGCAGATAGGCGCACTCTCATTGCTTTACATTCCTCTCTCGTCCTATCTAAGCTCGAATATGATTGCCTTGCTTACTCGTCTGCTTCTTTTTACTCTTCGCTGTCTTGATGCTTTGCACCATACTGGGTTGCGCCTCAGTTCTGGTGCCTTTCGTTCGACTCCCGTCCTTGGCTTGTATGTTGACACTGGCTTCCCGGTTTGGTGCCTTCTTTTGATAATTACTTACATAGCCTTCCCGATTTGGTACCTTCTTTTGATAATTATTTACTTAATTACTTTATAAGTTAATTGGTTTTAGTTGTGCCAATTGATTTCAGTTCAAATATAAACAACAATGGAGCAACTATTAACAAGGATTATACAGAATATATCATAACATTATTATTCCTTCTCAGATATTACTGTGCTGATAGAGATGGCAACACACCAGATGCCTCTAGTGGAGACATGGGCTTCAGATGTGCTGCCGATTACCTGCCAAATTATCAAAGCAAATAACTGAAGACGTTTACAATCTATTACATATAATGAATGCAAATTATTTGGCAAAAAAAAAAATAGTAAAATGGTCTTTGTCATTTAAAATTAAACAATTTCAAAATGAATTTGAATTTTTTTTCTCAATTCTGTTCGGTATTCATTGTTTATTACTGACAATTATCTTTGTTAAGGACTGAGAGCAATATTACAATTTGAGGTTACTGAAGTAGAACCGTTCTCGTGCAACGCTTCTATTAAGAACATAAGAACAAAGGTAATTGCAGAAGGCCTATTGGCAAATACGAGCCAGCTCCTATCTATAACCACCCAATCCCACTCAAATACATGTCCAACCCACGCTTGAAACAATCGAGGGACCCCACCTCCACCGTTATGGTTCCACAAAACAACCCTGTTACCGAACCAGTATTTACCCAAGTCTTCCTAAATCTAAACTTATAAAACTTATACCCATTGTTTCGTGTTCAGTCTTGTAAGAACATAAGAATAAAGGTAACTGCAGAAGGCCTATTGGTCCATACGAGGCAGCTCCTATCAATAACCACCATATCCCACTCATATACATGTCCAACCCACGCTTGAAACAATCGAGGGACCCCATCTAAACCATGTTACGCGATAATTGGTTCAACAAATCAAAAACCCTGTTACCGAACCAGTATTTACCCAAGTCTTTCCTAAATCTAAACTTATTCAATTTATACACATTGTTTCGTGTTCTGTCTAGTGTTGATACTTTTAATATACAGTCATGCGCAGACAGTCGCAGTGAGAGGGTGTGTTAGCCGGGCGCTCCTGAGTGTAGTTATATTATCATAATATGGAAGTTGTGGTGAAGGAACTGATGAGTCTGGTTGGGGCTCTGAGGACAGAGCTGGACACTCTATGGGAGGAGGTACGACAGCTGAAACAACAAGAAGGAACGAAGGAGACCAGTAGTAAAAAGACCTCGTCTTGGAAAGTTGTAAAGGACAGGGGCTTTAAGAAGACTTTGATAAAGCCGACTACAGACGCCCTAAGAATGTCTAATTCATTTGCCGTATTGGAGGACGAGTGCTGTGGTGAGACTGTGGGTCACGCAAAAAGGAAAGCAACGAAGCGCAGGCCCCTCAGAGTAAAGGAAGTACCTAAGCAAACTTTAGTTGTGGGAGATTCCCAGATAAGGTATTTGGATAGAACGTTTTGTGCTAGAGATAGGGGGAACAGGTTAAGGGTTTGCTATCCCGGAGCTGGTATTGGAAATATTATAAACAACATGAATGATATTATAGCTGGAAATGGGAACAATCCCGTTATTTACATTAGCGTGGGAGGAAATGATGTTGGTCGAGTTAGGAGTGAGGAACTGATTCAGAGGTATCAAACGGCAATTGAATTAGTTAGAAGCAAGGGAGGAATCCCGATCATATGTGGCATTCTTCCAAGAAAGGGAGTGGGAAATGAATGGATGCCGAGGGCACTTGGTGTCAATTGCCGGCTGGAAAGATATTGCAAATCAAATGCAATATCTTTCGTAGACAACTGGGAACACGTCTATGGAAGAAATGAAATGTATGCTCGCGATGGGGTTCATCTATCGAGGGCTGGGGTGGTTGTTGTTGCGAACTCGTTGGAACCAGTGGTTAGAGGTGTTTGTTTGGGTTTAAACTGTTAGTAGATAGTGGTATGGGAATCGATTTAAAAGAAGGAGGCAATAAAAGTATGTGTTTGTGGGAGAAAAGAATTGGCAAAATGATCAGGAAAAGAGAGGAGCCTCAAAATAACAATTCATTTAGGGCATATTACACTAACACTAGAAGTCTAATCAAATAAACGATTTAAATGCTCTTGTCTGCACAGAAAAAAATAGATATTATTGCACTTACAGAAACGTGGATGAATGTAGAAAATAGAGAACTATTAGCTGAATATCAAATGGATTTAAACTATTTCACACTGATAGATATATTAGACGAGGAGGGGGAGTAGCCATATATGTTAGGGACAATTTGAAATGTAGTCTCAAAGAGGGAATCAAAACTGAGCCACATACAAAAACTATTTGGATAGAATTAAACGAAAAAGCAAATAACATTATAATAAGAGTTATATATAGGCCACCAAATTTAGACAGAATGGAAGCAAAGCATTTATGGGATGAAATATCTAGAGCATCTAGATCTAACAGTATTTACGTCATGGGTGACTTTAATTTTAGTGGAATAAACTGGGTGAACAAAACAGGGAATAATGAAGCAGAAGATTTTCTAGAATTAATTGACGATTGCATCTTACGCAACACATTAAGGAACCAACGCGGGGAAATAATATTTTAGATTTAGTGTTAACTAACAGGGAAACACAAATTAAGGACAATGGCAATAGGGAGTGAGCTAGGGAACAGTGATCATAAATAAATCAGATTTAGCATTCAATGGAATAGATCTGTAGGAGAAAATTGATAGTGCCTGATTTTCGAAAAGCTGATTTCAAAAGCCTAAGAAATTTTTTGGGTCAAATAGATTGGAAAGTCTTGGGTATGGGTTGTGGGCCGGTCTTGGAGCTAGACGTTAACCCAGCGATAGGTGACGTAAAAGGGGTTTTCGATGTGGATTCAAAATATAACCTATTTAAAAATATTCTAACCAAAGCCCAGGAATGTAGTATACCATATAAATTGAATAGATCAAATACTAATGTAGTTAGAAATACTAAAGAGATAAGGAAAGCAAAAAGAAACTATGAAGTTCGCATAGCAGAGCAAGCAAAAACAAATCCTAAAGGGTTTTTCCAATTATACCGGACAAAGATTAGGGAAAGGATAGGTCCATTAAAAACTGAGACAGGTCAAATAACAGATAGTGATGAAGAGATGAGTAGTATTTTTAATAAATATTTTATATCTGTATTTACTAAAGAGGAACTTAACAATATGCCTTCAGCCAAACAAGTCTATGTGGGTGGGGACGAGGACAGGTTGACTAGTTTAGCAGTTACCAGGGAGGATGTTCTTAAACAAATAGTAAAACTCAAATCAAACAAATCCCCAGGGCCGGATGAAGAGTTTGCCAGGGTGCTTAAAGAATGCAAAAAGGAGCTTTGCGACCCACTGTCTACCATATTTAATAAATCAATAGTCAGGCAGAGTGCCAGAGTTATGGAAAGTTGCTAATGTGATACCAGTTTTAAAAAAAAGGAGATAGATCACTTGCTTCAAACAATCGACCAATTAGCCTAACGTCTGTTGTAGGAAATTTACTCGAATATATAATTGCAAATGAAATTCGTCTTCATCTTGAAAAACATAAATTAGTAATTGAGTCGCAACATGGTTTTATAAATGGTCATTCATGTTTAACAAATTTGTTATCTTTTTATTCCAGCATAGTTGAGGCAGTTGATAGTGGTAAGGATTGGGATGTTGTGTACCTTGACTTTAGCAGAGCTTTTGATACAGTGGCACATGAAAGACTGATTAAAAAGATAGAAGCTCATGGTATTGGGGGTGCTATATTAAGCTGGATTAGAGCATTGCTATACCAAAGGAAACAGAGTTAGTATAAATGGAGTCAAGTCAGAGTGGGAAAATGTTGTAAGTGGAGTGCCTCAGGGCTCTGTCCTGGGACCTCTGTTGTTTATAATATATATAAATGATTTAGATTCAGGTTTGAGTAGCAACATTTGCGAATTTGCCGATGATACAAAAATCGGTAGGGAAATTAATACGAAAGAAGACTCACTATCTCTTCAGGTTGATCTAAATAGGGTTTTGAATTGGTCAAAGGATTGGCAAATGCAGTTTAATGCTGGTAAATGTGAAGTTCTGAGGCTAGGTAATGATGATATAGTTACAAGATACGAGCTAGATGGTGTTGAGATTGCGAAAGGGATATGGGAATTATGATTAGTAAGAATTTAAAACAAAAAGATCAATGCATGAATGTTCGTAATAAGGCAAATAGGACACTGGGATTTATTAATCGAAGCGATAGTAACAAGACACCTGGTGTTGTTCTTCAGCTATATCTTGCTCTGGTTAGGCCCCATAATAGATTATGCAGTTCAGTTTTGGTCGCAATAATATAGAATGGATATCAATTCACTTTAACGTGTCCAGCGGAGGATAACTAAGTTAATTCCCCAAATTACAAAACTTTCTTATGAAGAAAGATTAACAAAGCTTAAAATTGCAGTCACTGGAAAGGCGAAGAGTTAGGGGTGACATGATAGAGGTTTACAAGTGGATGAATGGACACAACAAAAGAGATATTAAAAGTATCAACACAAGACAGAACACGAAAGAATGGGTATAAATTGGATAAATTTAGATTTAGGAAAGACTTGGTTAAATACTGATTCAGTAACAGGGTTGTTGATTTGTGGAACCAATTACCACGTAACGTGGTGGAGGTAGGGTCCCTCAATTGGTTCAAACGCGGGTTGGACATGTATATGAGTGGGATTGGGTGGTTATAGATAGGAGCTGCCTCGTATGGGCCAATAGGTCTTCTGCAGTTGTCTTTGTTCTTATGTTCTTATTATCGATCCAATTAACTTTCCCACAGTAGACGTTAGGCTAATTGACCGATAGTTTGACGCAAATGATCTATCTCCTTTCTTAAAATTGGTACCACATTAGCTACCTTCCATGACTCTGGCACTCTGCCTGACTCTAATGCTTTATTAAATATGGTATACAGTGGCTCGGAAAGCTCCTCTTTCCATTCTTTAAGCACCCTGGCAAACACTTCATCCGGCACTGAGGATTTGTTTGGTTTTAGTTTTACTATTTGTTTAATTACATCCTCCCTGGTAACTGCTAAACTAATCAACCTGTCCTCGTCACCACCCACATAGACTTGTTCGGCTGAGGGCATATTGTCAAGTTCCTCTTTAATAAATACAGATATAAAATATTTATTAAAAATACTACTCATCTCCTCGTCATTATCCGTTATTTGACCTGTCTCAGTTTTTAATGGACATATCCTTTCCCTAGTCCTAGTTCGATATAACTGAAAAAACCCTTTAGGATTTGTCTTCACTTGCCCAGCTATGCAAACTTCATAGTTTCTTTTTGCTTTCCTTATATCTTTTTTTAACATTTCTAACCAGTTGTACGAAT